AGATAGGGGTCTCACAAACTATTTGCTCAAGCTGGCCTCAAACTGCGATCTTCCGATCTCAGCCTCCCAAGTAGCTAGGATTACAGGTGTGAGCCACCAGTGCCCAGCCTAAATAAAGTCTTAATATTGACTGATTGACTGCCAGGAACACAGCTGTTGAGCTTGTCCCTAAGACCTAGAAAGGGCTGGTGGCCTATGCCAGGCTTCAGCTGTGAGGAGCTGAAGACTTCTGTTGCAAAAAGGAGGGGACACTGTCCTAGATGAGACTGAGCTGAGATGCTGAGGAGGAGGAGGAAAGAATCCAGTTGCCAAGCCTGAAGTCCCTGAGAACCCCTGGCCCTAAGAGAAGAGGGTGAGAGCAGCTAAGTGTGCTCCTGCAGACCAAGGTGCAGGATCCAGGGAGACTTGAGAGGAGTCAGAGAGCAAAGGGAGATCCCAGCAGCCTTCTCTAGCAGATGTTTTTGGTGACCTCCTGCTAAACCTCCTACTAAACTGCTGGAGCTAGTGTCTTGTCTGAGTGTGAATCAGGGGAGGATTATCTCAGCTTCTTATCACTGAATGGTTTAAGTGTAGTAATGTGAATCTGAACCAGCCAATGAGACACCAGGGAAGATGTGGTAGGAGGGGCTTTGGGATTTGTGGGAGAAGTGGGCTGGTTTTCTCCCTGGGCAGTCCTTGTTCTGGGTGTAATGACAGTGGGCTGTGTTCTTCCAAGAGCCAGGAGAGCCAGACTCAGTGTGAAGGCAAAGACAAGTGATGAGACAGAGAACAGGAAGGAACTTGCAACCCCAAAGTCACCCCTGAAAGCTGAGCAAACCAACTAAAAGCACCAAATGAGCAGTTCACAGTGAAGCCAGAGAGGAAGCAGCTGCTGCCCTGAGCCAAATGCCCTTCAGGAGAGTCTGGAGCTGGGGTGACCTCCAGAGTCTGGAGGACAGGAGGCGCAGGCCATTCCAGGTGGGGAGCTGTACCTGAGACACTACTTATGGCAGAATTTCTACTTATGGTAGAAATTATCTACCTGTGAGCAAAAGGAAATTATTAAAAATAGTACTAATTGGAAAATTGGGTATCCATATGAAAAAAAAAGAGTAAGGTCAGACCCTTGCCTAACACTGTATACAAAAACTAACTCAAGCGAATGGATCAAAGACCTACATGTAAGGCCAAACCCATAAAAGCCCCAAGCAAGCATGAGGCAAAAGCCTCACAACATGGGACTTGGTAATAGTTTCTTAGATATGACACCAAAGACATAGATGACAGAAGAAAAAATAGACAATGGTGCCTCAGGAAAATCTTTAAAATTGTTTGTGCATTTAAAGTACTGTAACAGAGTGAAAGGACCACCCACAGAATGGGAGAAATACTTGCAACTCCTATATCTAGTAAAGGGTTATATCTATAATATATAGAGACCACAACAAAATCAATAAGTAAAAACAGCTTTATTTAAAAATGGGCAAAAGACTTAAATAGACATTTCTCCAAAGATGATGTACAAAGTGTAATGGCAAGATTTTTTTTTTTTTTTTTTTGACAGCACTGAAGTTTGAACTCAGGGCCTCACGCTTGCTAGGGGCAGATGCTCTTACCACTTGAGCTACTCCACTAGCCCTGCTTTTTTTGTTGGGTATTTTCAAGATAGAGTCTCAGGAACTATTTGCCTGCACTGGATCCTCCTGATCAGGATCCTCCTGATCTCTGCCTCCTGAGTAGCTAGGATTACAGGTGTGAGCCATAGGTGCCCAGCGCAAAGCAGTATTTAACATCTCCAATTATCAGGGAAACACAAATTAAACTCTAATGAAATATTACCTGACATCTACTAGAATAGCTGTGATAAAAAAAAGAAACAGAGAAAAAACAGAGATGTGGACAAGTCATGTTGGTGGGAATGTGAAATGTTGAAGCTATTATAGAAAATGGTATAGAGATTACTCAAAAAAATTAAAACAAAATTGTGGTATGACCCAGCATTGCCACTGCTAGTTATTTAACCAAAAGAAGAGAAAACAGAATTTCAAGGTGATATTTACACTCCCATGTTTATTGCAGCCTTATCCACAAGGGCACAGGGAAAAAGAAACTAAGTATCCACCAGCCCCTAAATGGATAAAGAAACTGTGTATCCACACAAAGGCATATTATTCAGTCTTAAAAAGGAAATCCTGTCATATGCTAAAGATGGATAAAATTGGGGGCCATGGTGCTAAGGAAACGGTCACAGAGGATCAATACTGCAGGATTCTGCTTCTGTGACTTAGCTAAAGTAATCAAACCCATGGAGCAAAAAGTGACCTGGTGGTAGCCAAGGGCTGGGTGGAGGGAACAGAGAGTTGTGTTCACTGGACTTAGAGTTTGAATCTTGAAAAAGTTCTAGGGATCTGCTTACTACAGATGTAATCAACAGTTCTGGACTGTGTACTGGCAGTTTTGCTAAGATTTCGTGTTAAAGAAGAGCCCCACGACCAGAGGACCCTCCTGGCTGTCGTCACTTTCCTGGTCAGTGCAGCTGACACTTCTCTTGGTGTGCTCTTCCTCTTTGGTGCAGCTGCTCAGATGTGCAGGCTCATGGGGAGGAGAAGTTTCCCTCTCCATTGCTCTCTTATTAACTTGGGTGGTGTGTGCTAAAACCAGCATGGCGCAAGTCCTTGTAGTCCACAGCTTTTTAAAGGTTTTGAAAACTTCTGCTCCAGGGCCCTGATATTGGGTTTGAAAACAGGGCCTTGTGCTTGCCAGGCAGGCGTTCTACTGTTTGAGCCACTCCACCAGTCCTTTTGCTCTGGTTATTTTGCAAACAGGCTCTTGTTTTTTGCCTGAGCTGGCCTGGACCAGAATCTTCCTGTTTTAGGCTTTTCGCTGGAGATGAGTTGAGAGGGGTATTACCACTGCCCCCAGCTTTTCCCACTGAGATGGGGTCTCACAAACGTTTTTGCCCAGGCTGGCCTGGAACCACAATCTTCCCATCTCTGACTCCCAAGTAGCTCAGGTTTTAGGTGTGCGCGACAGCGCCTGGCTCTCTACACCTTTTTTGGAAAATGCAACTCAGCTCTCATGGCTAACCGACCAATTTCCCCCGTTCTCTCTACCCCAGAGAAGACCTGTGAGACAAGCTTTGCCCTTCAGCCTTACTTCAAAACTCCAGGGATATTCCCCAGAAGTGTGTGATGATCTTTCTATTTATCTATCATCTATCTATCTATCATCTATCTATCTATCATCTATCTATCTATTGGACACAGGGTCTTGCTATGTATCTCAGGCTAACCTTGAACTTACAATCCTCTTGCCTCATCATGTACCCTCACACATGGTTCTTCTTGCTTCTTTGGGGCTGGGATTCAGGGCTTGCCTTCTGGGACGGAGGATATGGTGGTGTTCAAGACAGACAGACAGATTACAGATGCCTACTCTTCTCCACTGGGTTCTCAAAGATGCAGCCATGAGGGTAAGGTTAGGGTTAGGGTTATTGTTACTGTTAGGCCTAGGTCTAGTGTTAGGGTTAGGGTTAAGGTTGTGGTTGGTGTTATGGTTGGGCCTAGGTTAGTGTTAGGGTTAGCATAAGGGGTTAAAGTTGGGGTTAGGTACTCTTGGGGATATACCCAAAAGACTGTGACACAGGTTACTCCAGAGGCACCTGCACACCCATGTTTATTGCTGCACTATTCATAATAGCCAAGTTATGGAAACAGCCAAGATGCCCCACCACTGACGAATGGATTAAGAAAATGTGGTATCAGGTAAGACACCTAAAAAATTAGCTAGCATTTGTTGCCCTCAATGCAGAGAAACTAAAGCAGATACCTTAAAAGCAACTGAGGCCAATAGGAAAAGGGGACCAGGAACTAGAGAAAAGTTTAGTTCAAGAAGAATTAACCTAGAAGGTAACACCCACGCACAGGAAATCAACATGAGTCAATGCCCTGTATAGCTATCCTTATCTCAACCAGCAAAAGCCCTTGTTCCTTCCTATTATTGCTTATACTCTCTTACAACAAAATTAGAAATAAGGGCAAAATAGTTTCTGCTGGGTATTGAGGGGGAAGGGAGGAGCGGAGTGGTGGAAGAGGAGTGGGGGCAGGGGGAGAAATGAACCAAGCCTTGTATGCACATATGAATAATAAAAGAAAAAGGAAAAAAAAAAAAAGAAAGAAAACGTGGTATCTATACACAATGGAATCTTATGCAGCCATGAAGAACGAAATGTTATCATTCGCTGGTAAATGGATGGAATTAGAGAACATCATTCTGAGTGAGGTTAGCCTGGCCCAAAAGACCAAAAATTCGTATGTTCTCCCTCATATGTGGACATTAGATCAGGGGCAAACACAACAAGGGGATTGGGACTTGAGCACATAATAAAAGCTTTAGCACACAAGGGAGGGGTGAGGATAGGTAAGACACCTAAAAAATTAGTTAGCATTTGTTGCCCTTAACGCAGAGAAACTAAAGCAGATACCTTAAAAGCAACTGAGGCCAATAGGAGAAGGGAACCAGAACTAGAGAAAAGGTGAGATCAAAAAGAATTAACCTAGAAGGTAACACACACGCACAGGAAATTAATGTGAGTCAACGCCCTGTGTAGCTATCCTTATCTCAACCAGCAAAAACCCTTGTTCCTTCCTATTATTGCTTATACTCTCTCTTCAACAAAATTAGAAATAAGGGCAAAATAGTTTCTGCTGGGTAATGAGGGGGGGAGAGGAGGGGCGGAGTGGTGGTAAGGAGGGGTGGGGGCAGGGGGGAGAAATGACCCAAGCCTTGTATGCACATATGAATAATAAAAGAAAAAAAATGTTCAAAAAAAAGTTGGGGTTAGGTTTAGAGTTAGAATTAGGATTAGGATTAGAATTATTGTTAGTGTTAGGATTAGGTCTAGTGTTAGGGTTAAAGTTAGGTTAGGGCTAGGGTTAGTGTTGAGTTAGGGTTAAGGATAGGGTTAGGTTAGGTTTATTGTTAGTGTTAGGCCTAGGTCTAGTGTTAGGGTTAGGGTTAGGGTTAGGGTTTGGTTAGGGTTAGGGTTAAGGACAGGCTTAGGCATTGTTGCTGTGGTGAGACATTTGAGACACAAGCATTTCCCTCAGCATTTTAAATTGTTGAGTTTATTTTAAAATATCATTTAAAAGAGAAGACATCATTTCCCTGAGATAGTTGTCATTGCTGTCCCCACTTCCAACACCATTTTGAAGTGGCCCTTCAGGCTCAGCAGGGTCTTGGGGAGAAGCCCAGGCCCCACTCCACACTGTAGCCCCAGGAAGTCCCAGTGCCTGGGAGGTGGAGGCAGGCAGGGAGCTGGTGGGGGCCAGGGTGGAGAAAGAGGAAACCAAGTTCTGGGCTGGGCCCTGGGACCTCTTCAGCAAGTCACATTCAGAGCCATGTCCTCCTGGTAGAGGGAACACCCCAGAACCAGGAACTCACCCAAGATCCACCACTGCCCCCCAGGGCAGATAATCCTTGGTCAAGGATTCAGGCCACAAGCCATCAAAACCCAAATGAAAATGATTTTAAAAACTTGTGTCTCAGGAGCTCAAGAGAGGAGGGTGTGGAGCAGATCCCCTCTGCCTCTTTCTCTGTGCATCTGTCCTAGCAGGGATACCTAGCCACCTGAAAACTGGGCTCCATCCCAGGGGCCCTGACCCTGAGTCCACCCCAGTGGGGTGGGACTGGATGGGATAAGGTATCCACTACCTGAAGACTCGGAGCAAGGGGTTTGCACTGCAGGCTGATGCTGCTTTGGGAGGGACCTGAGCTGCGTCCCCGAGCTGTTTTGTTGGGAGTGTGCCCACCAGCCACAGAGGCCCTAGCCTCGGTCACTGGACCCTGAGGACTCAGGGGTGTTTCTTCCATAGCTTGGATCTCTTCTGGAAACATGGTCCAGGGTGGAAAGTCTCTGCCCATCCATCTGTCTAAGGAGCTATGTCTTTGGTCAGAAATTCAGGGTTCAAATTCCTACAGCTGGCTATTTCTGTCGCTCCTTGGGGACCTTCTGAGATGCCCTTCAACCAGAGGACAGCACCAGCCAAGATGAGCAAAATAGGCACCTTCACAAACACCAGGAGAATGTAGTGAGTCCTGTGAGAGGAACACATCCATCAGAGCTCAGGGCCCCTCCAGACCCCACCATTCCCCATTCCTGACCCTGGGCCCACAGCCTCACTCTGAAGACCCCCCCAGAAACCTCCTCCATGCTCTGTTCAGTCATGAGAACCACTCACACAGTGACCTCAGCTGGTAATGTACTGGGCCTGACTTCCTTTTCCTAATTTTATCTTCTGGTGTTCCCCTTTGTCCAAAGTTCACACTGGGTGGTGATCTCCCGCCTCTGTTCCTGAATGCCAGCTCCAGGTTGTAAATCACTCTCCCATGATGCTTTGCACCATGAAGATTGGTACCCATGAGGCATCAGCGCTTTTTTATTGACCAGTTGACTGGGTGATGGTGCTTAGAGAACAGTTCTGTTGAGCGGTTTTCTGCTGAGGGCTAGCATGGGAAGATGGCGGGTGAAGGGTAATGGGGCAGATGGTGGGCTTGGAACCTTGACCCTGGCTATACCAATTGCTGCCATCCGGTGACAACACAGGCAGGATTTTCTAGGTTTGGCTTCCCTATGGAAGGGCCCCACATGGGGGCAGAGAAAGGATCTCACCTCTTTGACTCACCTCTTGTAGGAGCCAAAGGATACCTCCATGTTGCTGTCTACGTTTGTCCTGGCATGTGGTTTGTAAGACGTGGTATCTGTTCCCACTAGACACAGACAAAGTTGACCACAGGTTATTGGCACAGATCGGGTGTTAATGCTTGTCTCACACTGCTACCTCTACCCTGCAGCCCTCATCAGGAAACCCCTTTTCCCCTGGATCAGGAAATTTTGTCTCTTTGAATACGTCCTTGGGCTTCTGGTTCCCTACAGTTGCTTTTCCTCCATTTTCAGGAGGATTTTTTTTTTTTTTTGAGACAGCGTCCCACTAAGTAGTGTAAACTGAACTGGAACTCAAGATCCTCCTGCCTCAGCCTCTTGAGGGCTGGGATTATAGGCCTGTACCACCACACTCAGCTCAAGAAATAAAAAGTAAGTAGAAAAAAACACTGTAGATTATTCTCCTTCCACTTACTGTTAGTTCAGGGGAACAATATGTGACCTTTTCTACTCAAGCAGTACCTGAGCAGGGCTAAAGAACAGAAGGTTCCAGAAATGAGATGCCTGGTGATTAGGGTAGTGAGGGAAAGGGGACTCAGAAGACTGGTAAGAGGCACATTCCAATAAAATCATGAACAATCACAGTGAGAAATGACGGTGGTACTGGGGCTTGAACTCAGGGCCTCCAAGTACTCCACCACTTGAGCCGTGTATCCAGCCTAAGGAATGAAATGTTTTTATGAGAAACTGTGAAGGTGATTTGTGGTGAGCAGTCTGGTCATGAATTCCTGAGACTGGCTTGCATTGACCATCCCTGAGCTGCAGTTCAACCATGCTAGGCAGCCGTTGGCAGACTGGGATAATTCCAACCCTGACAGATCCTCTGGAGGACCCTGAATCATCGTATAGGCTGGGTCCTAATCAGGACCCCTAAATGCATCTCCCTAAAGCTCTACACTGGGCACGTTCTTTGGCCTGTCTGTCCCTTGCTTGCATAGCTCAGTCAGTCCCTTTTCTTTTCCCACAGGTCTTGACTTCCTCTGCATGGTAGCTCCAGGGAATCCTTGCGGGGGTAAATCCTTTCTGGACTCACCTCACCATGGGGTAGCCCCTGTGTCCCTTGCTGGTTCCAATACTAACAATACCCAGGCTCTGCCCTGTCCAGGCCTGGAGCTCAATCCTGAGCTATCCACTGCACCGTGTAATGACAGGTATATGATATGAGTTCTAGAAGACTGGCCACTTCCCAGACTGATGGCCCCAACACCCTCTCCAGGCATCCAAGACCCACCCAGGGCTCCAGTGGGAGAATGTGAGATCTAAGGCATCCCCAGGACAGCAGGACTGGGCTATGGGTCACTAGAGGTGCTCAACGGCCACCCCAACATGAGTCAGCCCTGCTGTCTCAGCTAGATACCTTGGAGAGACCTCAGTCCCTGAGGTGCTGGGCTGCTCTTCCTTACTCCTCTCACCTTTCCTCTGCCCCCATCGACTTGTCTATCTGTCTGTCTGCCTGTTGTCTGTCTTATCTCAAAGGTACTCAGTCATTTCCTTCTGGCCCTTAGGGAACAGGAGGGAAGAGGACCAACTTTTCTGTCCTGAGTACCCAGGGCCTCACAGTGTATATAAGAAAGTTCTTACCTGGGTCGACGGTCACTTTAATGCGTATCCCAAGGTCAGTTCCAATTTTCTCAATTCCACACCAGTAAGTGTCTGTGTCATCTTGCCTGAGCCTCTCCATGGTCACCTTGAATGAATGGTCTCTCTGATTGTCCCTGATGGACACGCGGCCACTCTTCTCTTCTTGCTCTGATCCACTAGTTTGAATGAGGATCCTGCATGTCTTCCAGTACGCTCCTCGACACCACCATTTACTGTTGGTCTTCCATCTTGGCTTATAGTGACAGTGCACGGTCACTGATCCCTGCTCTGGACCTCTCACAGACTCTGGGCCATGGATGGAGAAACAGCCTGGAAAACAGAATCCCAAGATTCAGCTCCTGCTGTCCTGAGCCAGGTTGATGTTCAGAGGCTGAACAAGGAGGGTCCCAGTCACCTCAGCCATCCCCAAGACACCTGACTCCTCACCCCCACCTTGGCTGAGGTCCAGCTCCTATTATCCTTTTGGTGACAATGCCCTGGCCTCTCTAGACTTCATTTCCCTAGGCCTGTTTCCAGCAGGTTACATTTCTAATTTTCTGTCACCTCCTATCCTATCAGCACTGTTCTCATCTGATCTCCTCCTTCTTCTCAGACTACTCCTTCCTCTGAGATATTGACCAATTCCTCTTGTCTTCTTCTCTCTTTAAATCTTGGGGTAACCAGAGGTATGTAAGTGGTTAGCAACCACCTCTCTGGGGCACAAATCTTGGTTTGTAGCATCTTCCAGTTTCTGTAGGGTAAATGTTCCTGTCATGGCTGATGTCAGGCTATTGATGTGGTGTCACAGAACATAGAGCTGAAATATCTCAAACCAACTCTTGTGCCAGTATGAGCCTGGTCCACACACCACAGGGGAGACTCAAGATCCTCTCTTTGGCTCCCCTCTTGTCTCATTTTATATCTTCCCATGGAGAGAGTTGCTCCATTTCCACGGTTTTAATTGTCCCTTATTCTGATGACCCTCAAATCCGTATCTGTAGCTCAGATTCTCCCCTTAGGTCCAGCCCACTATTTCCGATACATACTGTGTACCTCAACCCCGATTCACTGGTTACAGAAGTGAATGTGCTGTCTTCCTACCGACCCTGCTCTTGGCATTTTCCCTCTAGCAGGGACACAACAGGGAGGAGTAACAAAGATCTGGTAAATTCTGAGCAGGTTAGAGAGAAAGGAAGTTGAGTGGGTGTCCTGCTGATGTGACACTGAGATGCCAGTGACACTGACTAAATTCAGATATCTTTTCTCTTGCAATGATCATTTGTTTCTTGGTTGTGTGCGGGTGGACAAAGGGACAGAGAAGCACATGGAGGCCTTTTCTGACTGCCCCTTGGCCTCGGCCTCAGGCCTGGGTTGGAGGTCTCTGCATAGTGTAACAGGTCTGTGGTACCCAGCAGGTACAGCCTCCTCACACCTTGGACCTTCTCCATGAAGGTCTCTGGGCCTCTTCTGAAGGTTTGCATTTGTGGTCAGCAGAATAATGGCCCTCCTCTCACCATAGATGTTGACATCCGATACCCAGAAGCTGTAAATGTGTCCCTTATATGGAAAAGGGACTTTGCAGATGTGATTAAGGGTATTGAGGTGAGGGGATTGTCCTGGACTATCCTCTAGGTCCTTATGAGTTCAGTTGAAGATGCTCCACTGCTGGCTTTGAACATGGAGGAGGAACCACAGGCCAAGAAAAGCAAGAAAGTCTTCTGGAAAAGGCAAGGAAACAGATTGTCCCTTAGAACCTCCAGAAGGAATACAACCTTGACTTTAGCCAGTAAGACCACTTCTGAGTCCTGATCTTGAGAACAGTAAGAAAATGAGCCACTGATGGTAATTTGTCACAGCAGCTGTATGAAACTAATACTTTAGCTAACCAGAAGAGCTGACTTTTGTGATTTTTTATACCATTATGGAGCCTAACTACAGAACTTGGCATCTTCCTTGATCCTCTCCTCTCTCTCGCCCTCCACAAGTGATTGGCCATCAATTCACTCATCACTACCTTGCAAATGTTCCACAGAATTATCTTCAGCCTCTGTTGTCACAGCCATGGGGACAGCATGACAGAAAGAAGGCAAGGTTTGCACACAAAGTATGCATCTATCACAGATCAGTTGGGGAATGCTGTTAATTTATTTAACCTCTCTGAGTCTTGCTTCCTTATTTGCAACATGGTCAGACTGTTTCCTATGTTTCAGAGGTTGTTCTTATAAGATTTGGATATGTGTCCAACACCAGAGATTTGGGGGTTGCTGCCTCAATGACAGTCCTCATCGGGTGCCTGGATTGTGTCAGTAGCATCCAAAGAAGCATCCCTCCTTCAATCTCATCTCTCTGTGTCGCTGCTGAGTTATTACTGAGGCTGTCCCCCTCAGCAGCACTTGCCATGAGCTGTCATTCAGGCCTTCTCCTGCAGCCACTCCAGCAGTGATGTAAAACTCTTCAGTTTGGCATTTGAGTCTTCTTGCAAGCTGGACCCCATTTCTCATCCAGCGTCACGTCCCTGTCCCTGGCTCTATAGACTATAAGCCACCTCCACTTTTCTCCTCCCCTGGTCCCCATATGCCTGAGAAGCCCTCCTCCAATGCCTGCACTTCCCTGTACAACTTCTCCACCTCCTCCACAGCCCAGACCTTTTTGCAGTGTTCATTCCTCCCTCCCAGAGCTGCTTCCTCTTCTTGCTCTCCTGTTCTTTCACCAAGGAAAATATGCGTTCTAAACTTTCAACTGTGGTTAGTGCTGAGATTCCGTTTTGTGGGAGAAATTTCTCTTGCGAAATCATACATTTCTATTGTGCTAAAATGTTTGTAATGCCGTTAGCTGATAAAATAATAAAGAAAAATCTTAAAAATAGACACAGGTGTCCACTAGGAGAAGGGTTAGCAAAAGACGCAACTACACAAGTTAAAATCAAATGCAGAAGTCAACAGTTAGCAGTCCTTTTCCTTCTTAAAAGAAAAATAACACAGATGATGGTGGGTGGAGCTATTTTTTAGGCTTCTATGTGTGGTCAAGATTTGGTTTGGGAGAAGAAGGGGGTGAGTGTGGTAGGCTAAGAGTCAGCCAGCAGCAGAACTTGGAGGAATGGAGTAGAGGACTTCCAAAATGTAAGACTAGTTAAATGTCAGTTTTTCATTTTTTGTGAATCTGAGAAGTAAACTTTCTCTTTTGTGCCTATCCTTCAGGGAAGATTGCTGCATGCACAAAATCCTTGCATGAGTAGCCTCAACATGTGTCATTCTGTGTCACGTGTATGGGTGTTGCATGTGTGTTGGTGTGAGTGAGATCATGAATGTGAAGGAGGATGTGACCATGGAGGTGTGGATGGGATATGATTGCATGTGGTGTGTGCTTCTGAATGCACTGTGTGAGTGTTGTGCGTGGGAGGATGAATGCGCAAAGTCCTGGCATAGCTCACTCACATCTTTAGGCTTGGCTTCCAGGGCAGCCCAATGTTGGGACTAAGAGAGGGAGTGGCTGGGGTCTCTGAACTCAGATGCAAACCTGGGGCAAGGGTGATGTGACAGCCCAAGTGCCCTTCTCAGTCTTGTCTTCTGCATTTCCAACCTCACATCTAACCAGTCCCTGTAGATGTCCTGTTTACTGAGAGTTCCCTCTGCACAGGCATGCCATCCTTTTCAAGCCTGTACCTCTTGCACCTTCTCCCTGGAATGCTCTCTCTGCTCTGCTGCAGGGTGTATATGCTTCTCTCAAAGGATATCAAAGCACAAGCTCAGAGAGACTTCCCCACCTCCCTGCAGGAGCGGCTTCCTCCTCTGAGCACACCTGTGCCAGTGCCTCATTGCATTCTGCCTTTGGTTGCTATTCACATGTGCATCTTACCCACTAGACTGTCTGAGGTCTTCTTAAATGGCCAGACTTCAATCTCTTTCTCCTTCATGCCCCCAGAGCCTGATGTACCACCTGGTATGAAGTAGCACCCACTGTACTTCTGCTGAGTGAATTAACAGAGCCACCTCTCATTTCCTGGGAGGTGCAGCTCTCCTTGAAGCTGGGACAGGGCCCTCTGCCTCCTGCTCTGTTCCTAAAGTACCAAGTCTACAGGCCCTAGTGTACTCACTTGTGAGGCTGAGAAGGAGCAGAGCTGGGGACAGCCACATGGTCCTGCCTCTTGGCTCCTTGTCCCTCTGCAAATGCAGGTTCACAAGGTGAACTCTTGAAGAACTGCTTGAGCCCAGCTCGCCCCTCCTGCTTGTCCAGACTGCCTTTGAACTTCTTACCCATTCGCTTCCTTTTATAAAGTGGGTAGTTCCTGCTTTTGATTATTCAGCAAAAGAGGCGTCAATTCTTGGCAGAGCTGGGTCATAGGTCAAGCGTGTCCTCTCTGGGTAGAAAAGAAGAGGCAAGGGGACTGTGCAGGGTGGGGTGGGGCGGGGGAGGGGGATGAGTTTGCAGACCAGCTGTGGGATATGTGGCTTATCAGGGTCAAGGAGTAGAACACCCTGGGTGTCAGGGCCAGAAATGGATCTGTACTGTAGTGAGGGATTCCCAGCAGCAGGAAATGGCTGAGTGAGGTGTCAGGTGGGCTGGGCTCAGCGTACCTGGAGGTGGGTTTGTTCCAGAGCTACAACCAAGTGCATAAAAGTGCAGACCGTGCGTCAGACAGACCTGGACTCTCACCCTCCTTAGTAGCTGTGTAACTATGGACAACTTACATAAACCACCAGAACCTCAGCTTTTGTATCTATAAATTGGGTTCATCTTATGTGAAGTTATAAGGACCCAGTCCTAAGACAGAGCAAATACATAGTCATATAATGTGCAAAACTTTAGTCTCTAGATGAAGAGGAAGATAGAATAAGCCCAGGGAAGGGGACAAGGGAAGGCTGGTGGCTGGGTTTCCTCACTACAAGAAGACAGATTCTAAACTTTACCTGATGATTTAATTAGAATCTTCATAATTCAATAGCTAAAACTCTTTTTTTTTTAGTACTAGAGGTTGAACTTAGGGCCTCAGGGCAAGATTCTACCACTTGAGTCACGTTTTCAGTTTGTTTTTCAGATAACATCTCTTGCTAACTTTGCTGGGCTGGCTTCAAACTATGATCCTCCTACTTCTACCTCCCAAGTAGCAGGGATTATGGAATACACCACTTTGCCTGACTCTAAATTCTTGAAGAATAGTTTTGGGAAGCAGGTGAAGATAATTTTTTTCCTTCAGAACCAGCTGTGGAGGGAGACTGTACCTGGTCATCCTGTGTGGTGGTGGCTCAGAACACATGTAAAAGTTCCAAGAGAAGTGGCGGAGGGGGTTCATCCCTATACTGGGGAGGGCTGGAAAGTATTGGGGAATAGCAAAGGGTCTGGGACATGGGCCTTGCCCAGATCATCGCAGACAAGTTCAGGACAGGCCATTGTCCCACCATCATTATTTCTCTGGGAAGCTGGAGCAAGTTTGTTTTAATATCAAGTAATATAATTACCCACATTAATAAAATATCAGAGGAAAATCACATAACCGTGTAAAATAGATGCACAAAGAGCACACATAAAACCCGTTACTGTTCACGATAAACTAGGAATTGAAGGGTATCTATAAGCAATCAATTAAATTGCAACAATGGCGAATGATTAAAAGTCTTCCCTTTAAAATCAGGGCAAGGACAAAGAGGCTTGAACTCACCACCTTGGTCCATACTTTAATTAACTTGCACAGTACAATAAGAAAAAGAAACACAAGATAGGAAAATTGGCAAAGAAGAAACAAAACTTTGAGTTAGTATGAATGAGTCAATTGTGTACATACAAAACTGAAAAGAAATTACTAAGACTTTAGCAGGGTTGCCATATACGTGCACATGTGTAGATAAACAGCTGAGTGTACAAAATGAATTGTTTGTCTACCTACGTGCAATGATAACTTGAAAATGCAATTAAAAGATACCATTTGGATGGGAGTTGAAAAATATACCATTTAAAATAAGAATAGGGCTGGTGGCGTGACTCCAGTGGTAGAGTGGCTGCCTAGCAAGTGTAAAGCCCTGAGTTCAAACCCCAGTACCAATACCACCAAAAAAAAAAAAAGAAAGAAAGAAAATAAGAATAAAAACATAATATATACAGAATTAAATTTAACAAGCATGTGAACAAGTTTTAAGAAGAACATAGTGTGTTATTAAAGGATATTTTAGAAACTCAAAAATCTCAGGTATACATCCTGTGTCCGTGGATAGGGAAGTTAACATGAAAGCGAAATGGATACACTGACTTTCAAAGTCACAGCACAGTTTTTTTTTTTTTTTCTTTTTAGGAACTTGATTGGCTTGTTCTAAAACATGTATAGAAAAGCAAAAGGCCAATGTTTGCAAGGATGTCCTGATAGCAAAGAACAATGTGCAGTGACCATACATCAAGACTTTAAAATAAAGCTCTACTAATTAAAACAATATTGCATTGGTTCAAACAAAACAGACTAGAGCTCAGGAAAAAAAATCCAAGCATATTCAGATTATATGTATGCCCAAAATGGCATTTTAGGGAAATGAAGAAATGTGAACAGTGCACTCAAATGGAAGAAAGAAAAATGAGTCACTGTCTCAGCTAGACACAAAAATCAGTTAAAAGTGGGTCGAGGACTTGTGAAAGGGGAATTTTAGAGCTATTAGAAGAAAATAGAGGATTTAAAAACTTTTTAGGGTATCAACAATTTCTTAAACAAGGGGCAAAAATTAAAAACTATAAAGAAAAATATTGAATAATTTGTTACCTTAAAATTAAAAACTTTCCCAAAAGGTACCAAAAGCCAACAAAACTGGCAAAGGATATTTGGAACACAGGTAATTAACAAAGAACTTGTAAAGGGTTCCTACAAGTCTGACATAAGTAGGAAAAATGCAGACAAACAACAGAAAACAGAAGACAGGCATTTCACAAAAGAGGAACTAGAAATGACCCGTAAGCACACCCAAAGGGGCTTAATCTATTGGTATTCAGATGAAAACAGCCCAGTGCTATTTTACACAGTTAACTTGAAGAAATGCAGGAAGTCCCATTAGTTTCAGAGTGGGGGACGGCTGGCTGGAGTGGAAAATGGTGCCGTTAACTGTAGAAAGCAATGAGAAATTGTCCGCTAGAGTTGACTAAGCCCATGCAGCAACATGTAGAAATTTCTCTCCTAGAACTAGACTCAAGAAAAAAATGTAAACATATTTACTAGGAAATATGTTCAAGAGTGTTCATAACAATGTGATAAATGCAAAAAAGCGAAGAGGAGAAGAAGGAGAAGATAGAAAAAGGAGGAAGAAAAGGAAGAAGAAGAGAAGGAGGAGGACAAAGAGCAAGAAAAGTATAAGAGGATGAAGAAGAGGAGAAAGAAGTCCAAAAAACAAGGAAGAACAGAAGAAAGAAAGAAGGGAAAAAGACATCTATTCTGTTGTGTGTTCATACAACAGAATAGAGAGAAATACAAATTAGTGACAAAATGGGACATCAAGATGGATGAATCTCAAAAATGCTGAATGCTAAAATCACATTACTTAGAAATAAAGAATACAGGCTGGGCATGGTGGCTCATACCTGCAATCCCACCCTTCGGTGGAAGCAGGAAATTAGTGAGTTTGAGACCAGCCTGGGCTATGTAGCAAGACCTTGTCAAGAAAGAAAGAGAGGGGTTCTACACATGGCTCAAGTGATCGAGTGCCTGCTTCACAATAGTGAAGCCCTGAGTTCAAACCCCAGTTCTGTCAAAAGAGAGGAGGGAGAGAGAGCAGGCATAAGGGCTGATGTGTAGCTCAGTGGTAGAGAATTTGCTTAGCATGCGTAAGGCCTTGGTTTTGATTCCCAGTGCTGAGAAAAAGTGTATAATTCTGTTTCTATAAAGTTCAGAAATAAAAGAGCTGAACAAAATACCCTTGGCAAACCTATACGCATATATATGGCAAACTCTGTAAGGCAACAGTTGTGGTCCTGTCTCAGGAGGTAGACAGCAGGCGCCTGGGATCAGAAAGGGGTTCTAGTATTAACCGTGCTCTGTGACGTACACTGCAGAGGGCACACAAGGATCCAGGAGAATTCTTGGATTAAAGCAGGTGTATTTATTAGGTGCATTCTTTCCGTGTTTGATACATCACAAGAAGGTATTTCTCAAGTGTTTCTAAAAAGTCTAGAATACTCTAACAGAAACATGGATTTGTTGGACAGAAGGTCATCTCTGTCCACCAGCAGGGCTGTACCTCTGGCCTGGATGGCAGCAGATGTCACTGGTTGTCATAATCCAGCCAATTCTGCCCCACTGGGCGCCTCAGAGGCCTGTTCACCCAGAGAACAGCACTGAGCAGGCTCAGGAACAGGGGCACCTCCAGAAAGACGAGGAGCAGGAAGTGGACACTGCTCAGCAGGGACCTGAGGAGGACATGGTGACAATGAGCTCTTTTCCTAGAGGGAGGTCCTGGTGCCCTGCACTTCGCCCCTGTCCCTTACACCAGGTCCTGTGTCTACAGTGATCACGTAGAGACCAGTGCTGGATAAGGCAGCCAGCTCTGCATGGACCACCGTCCCCTGACTGATAGCCTAAGAAGCGCCCTTGAACTTCGGGCTGTGGGCACAGGAACGACATGACTGTGAGAAGGATGTGAGGGGAACCCAGGCACTCAGGAGGGACCTGTGGCCAGAGAGGGATTTCTTCCTTAGCTCCCCACATGTGGGAGATGCCCTTTTGGGGTACAGGAGTCAATAACGTATGAATAAGTTTAATGCCTGCTCCTGTCACGATGGCATCTCCCATTAGCGTGGGGCTTCATCTGATCTCTTAAAACGTTTTTTAGAGTACAAAGTGAGGGGTGTCATGATAATATTTCCAAATATACATATACTGTACTTTGGTCACTTTCACCCCTCTATTACTCTTGGTCACGTTCACAGCCGGTAACTGCTGCATGCACAGCTGCTGATGGAATGTGTTAATGCCCCTGCCTTCAGAGGACTGGGTTTGCAAATCAGGCTGACACTGTGACCAAGGCTAGGGAGGAAGGCAGAGGAGAGACAGTGCTGGGGCCACTGGAGCCCAGAGCACCTGCTCAACACCCAGCTGAGCCAGGTCCTGACGGCTCCTAGGCAGGGCATTTGGACTGTCTTCCTTCTGCCTAGACACTCTTTTTCTAGGGGCCTGAGTCCCCCAATCCTGCAGGCCTCTGCTCAGATGGCCTCTAATGAGCCAGGCCTTCTCTGATCATTGTGTGGAAAATAACAACTCCATCACACTCCCATACGCAGTCCCCACACCCGAGTGACAAATACTTCCTGTTTCATCCTGTGTTGTTATTTATGTAGTAACATCTGTGCTGACTTGTGCCCTGTGCAGATCCTCCTGGTAGAGCACAAGCTCCATCTCAGCGGGACCACGTCTGGGTCACTGCTGTGTCCCAATCCTGACACCTTTAGCAGGCACCTCATAATTAAGCATGGGATTGGAAATGCAGGACAGGCCCAGAGGAGGGGGACGCAAGTCTCTCTACCGCCTCCTCTCAACAGATCCTACCACCCAGAGGCACAGACACAAGCCCTTACCGAGGCTATAGGCTGAGATCGGGGGTATCCTCTCTGGTGGTGCTGGGCCAGGTGTGCCCTGATGGGAACATGGGAGGCCCCAGGATGCTTGTGGTGCTCTCAGGTCTGGGGACTGTGGTCAGAGCTGAGGGTGAAGCACCGACAGGCCTGGTGACCTCCACTAAGTCTCCCACTCCCTGACACTCACATAGCCAAGTCACTTGGGTCGTGTTGGAGAGACGCCTTGAATCCAGCAATCCCCAGGGCCAGCCAGCTCTAGGCCTCATCAGCTGCCCTCCCTAGCCCCATCAAAAGGTACACTGTGGCCAGGTAGCACTTTCAGACACAAACACTGTCTACTAGGAAGGAGAGCGAGCTGGTTCCAGGGCTAATTCAGCCACAGCCACATCTTTCTCCTCCTCCATCATTCCTAGAAAAAAATAAGTGATGTGTAACTGTGTGGACATTGATCCACAGAAGTTAGGGTGGCAGATTCCTGAGGCAGGGCTGATGACTGGAGTGAGGCTTCAAATGAGAGCATGGATAGTCAGTGTGGGACCCTGTGTCACCCAACCGAGTCAGCCCCACACTGTCAGCCAGGCCTATGGACCCAAACAGACCACTGGACGGTCCTCTCTGAAGAGGGAATGACCAGGAAGAAAGGTTTAGAGAGACAGGTGCCTGATGGACCCTGTGAAGAGTGACCTGTCCTGAGGAGACATGGACAACAGGCTTTTTTTTTTGTTCAGTGACCCAGTGATACCAGTGGGATTTTAGTTCCTCACTCTTCAGTATGAGTCCACAAAGAGCATGGGAGACAAACCTCCATGTGGAGGAAACCAAAACCAAGAGGAGCAGAATTATAACCCCCAGGTCTTGGGACCCTTAGAGGGAAGCACCGGATTTAGTTCTGTGAAACAAGAGAGGCTGCATTAAGGAAGAGTTAGCTGCAGTAGGGAGAAACCCTGGGCATATTAACAGCTGAGAACCCATTTTCCATCCCACTTGTCCCTCTGCCCAAGCAGAGACTCTTCCAGAGGATTCTCCTGCATTAAAGGTGCCTGGGAAAGACAGGTCAGCCTGGAGGGGCTGAGTGAGGTCCCTTGAGAGGAGAGGAAGCCCCACACAAGATCTGGGATGTCTCCCTTTCATTTCCTTGGTGGTTGCTCGGAAGCTCCCAGGACCACACAATGAGGCTGGTGTCTCAGGAACCACCAATAGCAGTGGTGGCTGCCCAGGCTGGGGTCAAAGAGTTAATAGGGAAGATATTAACAGCTGAGAACCCATTTTCCATCCACTTGTCCTCGCCAAGCAGAGACCTTACCAGAGATTCTCCTGCATTAAAAGTGCCTGGAAAGCACAGGTCAGCCTGGAGGCTGATGAAGGTCCCTGAGAAGAAGAGGCAACCCCACCACAAATCTTGGATGCTCCCTTTCTTTCCTTGTGGATGCCTCGAAGCTCCCAGCACCACCACAATTGAGGCTCGCGGATGCTCAGAACCACAATAGCAGTGGTGCTGCCCAGGCTGGGCAACAGACATTAATAGGCAAGAGCAAATGCCTAGGTTGTTCCATACAGGAGGAAGGCGACAGGTTGATGAGACATAGGGTCTCTTCATAGAACACAAGGCCCTCATGAAGACAGGAAGGCAGCAAAGAGCCCGAGAGTCAAGGCCAGTCCCTCTCCTCACCCCCTGGAAAGGTTCAGGCTTGAGACTGTCAGGTGGGGCGCACAGAGGGCCTCCAATAACACAAGCGCCCCACTACCTGTGTGGGCATGTACATTTGTACACATCTCTACACTCACGGACACATATGCATGCATACACACACATGCATGCATGTGCACACACATATACAGTGTTCACTTGCCAATCTCACACTGCTCTTCTTTCCTTTGGGAGGGAATGGCCAGGCCTGGACTCAAGCAGCCTTGGTGCTGGTTGGGGGAGGGCTCACCTGGAATCACAAACACCTCTACCCTAAGGGAGTCATCCCTTCCTTCGGTCCATGCTGTACTGATCCCACACCGGTAGGAGTCAGCATCCTTCAGGGTGAGATTCGCCAATGTCACTGTGAAGGTGAGGTTTTCAGGATGGTCTGTGATGGACTTTCGGCTTTTCCTCGATCTGCTCTCTGAGCCTTTGATCTCACCTGAGTTGCTCTTAGTGATGACATGACAGCTCATGGGACCAGAGATGTGACATGGGCTCTGATGAGGCCAGCCTCCAAAGAACATACGGGCTGGAGATCAGATTGAATCCATGACCAATGATTCAACTGATCACCCCAAAGTTGTGAAATCCCTATAGAAACCCAGACAAGGGAGATGGGAGGAGCTCCTGGTGGACAGGCACATGAAGATCCCAGGAAAGTGACATTCCCTGACTGCTCCCAGTGCAGGAGGTACAGGACCTCTGTTTGGGACCCCTGCAGCCCTCACCCTACCTGTCGCCTTGTAAAGCCAATCCTGATCTTTATCCTTCACGATGAACCTGTAACTCTGCTTTGCGGAATTCTGAGTCCAATGAGTTACTGAGCCCGAGGAAGTCACGGGAACCCAAATCTGTGGCCAGAAGTCAGAAGTGGGGTGGCCTGGGCTTCCCCAAAGTGTGATTGGACTACATGAAGGGGTCTTGTGGTGGCCAGAATCCTCAGCCTGAAAGATCTGCACTAACTCCAAGCAGCAGTACCAGAATGGAATTGCAGCACCCAGTAGTGTCAGAATGGGAAATCTATGAACCCCAGAAATGTTTGTGACCACATTCATTTTCTCAGGAGAGTCTGCAGATGCTGTTAGATTCTCTGGGGGTTGATGAGCTTCAGAAAGACTGAGGACCTGTATTTAGAGGAAGAGCCCAAGACTTTGGCCCGCCTTCTTCTACCTTGAAGCTATGCAACCTGGCCAATTGCTTAACCCCTCAGAGCCTCAGTTTACTTATCTGTGAAACAAGCATGGTGACATTCAGAGAGAACATTCCTGTGAAACCCTGCACCATGCCTGGCAGGATGTCACCCGCCCTCTTTAACTCCTGCTCTCCTTCCTCCACCACCCCTGGCTCCTCCTTGGCCTGAGCCCTCTTCTAGCAGTCCAGGCCAGTCCACTAAACTACGATGCACAGCCTACAGCTTCCTACCTGGGCCTGGGGCAAAGGGTACCCCGTGGCCTTGATACCAGCCTAACATCCTCCTGAGAAGAAGGTGTGCACCTGCTGGTCAGAGACTGGGTGCTTACCCTGAGCCCTGGCTCTCAGAATAGTCCTCCTGGCTACTGGATTCTTGGGTAGGACTCTCTGCTGCCACGGTGGTGAATGGCACAGCTTTGGTTGTGGTTGTGGTTGTGGTTGTCCAGGTTTTGTCTTCTGGGATACTTGTCGTTGGTGCTGGTGGCAAAACCATGGGATCAGACCCAGGCTCGATCCTCGACTCTCCCACTATTGGCATTTTGGACTGATTTTACACCTGCTCACTCAGGAAGGAGCAGGTTGGGGTACCTGGGGCCAGTGTCTTCCCAGGATCCTCCCGGGCCATGTGAGCCTTTCCAAACAGGGCCCCCAACAGCCCTATTCAGTCCTGCTGGTGAGGGCCCCGAGTCACCTCCCTGTGTGGTGCTCCTCCAACCTCGGCCATATGATGCAAATCTAAATCATTACTTGTCTGAGCTTCTTCTGCACGCAGGCCCTTCATTGACCCTGGGGCGCTCGCTCTCCCCTGCACGCATGCTCTATTCTCTCCTGGCTTCTGACACCTGAAGTGCAACTTGCACCCTGAGACTGAGCGGAGCTATTGACTACTCCAAAATGATTCCCTACACCCCTCCCCTGCCTTCTCTGTCTCTGTCTCACACACACACACGCACACACACACACACACATGCACGCACACACAGATTCCAGGCTCAGATGTGATTCCTGCCCCAGCTACTCCCACCTCAGCCTCTTTAGCAGCCCTGGTGCTGGTTGGAGGAGGGCTCACCTGGAATCACAAACACCTCTACCCTGAGGGAGTCATCCCTTCCTTTGATCCATGGTGCACCGATCCCACACCAGTAGAAGTCAGCATCCTTCAGGGTGAGATTCGCCAATGTCACTGTGAAGGTGAGGTTTTCAGGATGGTCTGTGATGGACATTCGGCCTTTCCTCGCTCTGCTCTCTGAGCCTTTGGTCTCCACTTTTTCGCCACAAATTAGTGAGAATGACTTTAACTTTCTGCACCAGTATTTGTCGAATGTCTTGTATTTCTCCTCATACTGACACTGCAGGCTCAAGGATTCTCCCACAGTGCCCATCACTGTGCTGGGGCCAGTCAGAGCAGAACAGCCTGGAAAACACAGCCCCAATGCTGGGCCCTCACAGGTGGGCAGGGTCAGGGGTGCCATGGGGTCAGGTATTTGATGGCCATTGGGGTCTTCAGGGGACAGCATTTGGAGACTGGCCTTGTCAGACTCAGGAGTCAGGACTGAGGGGTGAGTAGCTCCCACCTCCTGGGGGTGAGAGCAGGATAGGGGTGTCCATGGAGACAGGAAGGGCCCAGGAGGGGGAAACAATGAGTACGTGTGTATGTGTGATTGTACACGTTTTTGCATGTGTGTGTATAGGTGGTGAGGTGTGTCTATGTGAAAACGTGTCCTTGTGTGTGTTGGACAAACACATCATTCACATTGTATAATTATAGCAATGGCTGTCACAGCGCCTCTCTCACCTTGGCTGACTCCTTCCTGGGTTCAGAGGGACATTGTGCACTGAAGCTTGGGGGCATCTGTGGCGGCCACTCCTCTGCCCTTCTGCCCTCTCTCTTCACCCCATTTGCACCCCATCAGCATTCCTTCTCCACCTCCCATCCCACCCCTGCCCCTCTGCCCCTCACAACAGAACTTCCCCTGTCCAGGTTCGGCACCACTCACCTGGGACTTGCAGGAGTAGCAAAGCCAATATGGCTGTGTCTCTTGGAGTCATTTCTCCAGTACAGATGTCAACTGCACACACACAGCACGAGGAGAGCTTTTCTGCCCCTCTCTGCTTCCTGGTTCCAGTCTCGAGGTTGATAGTCAGCCTAGGGAGGGTGCAGGAAGTGTAGGAGAGGAGCCACTAGGCTGAGACAGATGTCCCCAGGCCTCGATGCCTGGCTCCTCTCACTTCGGTGACTGAGCAGAGCCTGTGGGTTGGGGATACCGCCCCTCCCAACAGACTGCTGCTCTCAGTCCTTCTCACAGTCCCACAGCAGAGCCCAGAGAGAGTACTTCCTCCTTGGTGGGGCTTTCCTGCGCTCTGTGATACGTCACTTCTTGTGGTGAAGGTGGACAATCCTGGGAGTGGGGGCAGGGCTTTCCATCTTCTCTAGCTCTAATGGGCACTGTGAAGGGTCTGTCCTCTCAACCGTCAGCTAGGCACCCACAGAGTGTTCTGAACACTTGGCGTCCCCAGTGCTTCTTCCGATTTCACACAATGGGGAGGGAGGGGTGGGCATTTGGACCCAGTGTGGCATCTTCCACAATGTCTCTTCTTCATTCTGAAGTCCCAACCAGGGTCCAGAGCCCTCAGGCAGCAGCTCTGTCTTCTTGCGCCTCCTGTCCCCAGATCTAAAGGAAGAATAGCTGTCACCCATGTTAGGTGGGTATTGGGTGGATGAATAAAAGAATGACTCTGAGGACTCAACTGTCAGCCAAGCACCAGTGGCTCATGCCTGTAATCCTAGCTACCTGGGAGGCTGAGATCAGGAGGATGGCAGATGGAGGCCAGCCTGGGCAAATAGTTCATGAGACCCTCATCTACAAAATAACCCAAGCAAAATGGACTGGAGATATGGCTGAATCAGTAGAGTATCTGCTTTGCGAGCACAAATCCCTGAGTTCAAATCCCAGTTCCACTAAAAAAAAAAAAAAAGACTCAGGGGAAAAGGCAAGAAAGTAATTTGTGGAGCCCAGGGATCCGCCTTACCCACAGAGGCATCTATGACCCCCTCTTGCCTGGGTCACTGTCTGAAGGCTGCAGCGAGGGGACATTTATACTCACTGCTCCCTTTGCTTAGGGCTTTCCTCTGGATGCCACACTCCATTCATTTCCAGTCCCTGTTTGCCTATGACCCAAGGATCCTTCATCTTACCTTATTTTACTTCACAACATTTCCACCCCCCTTTATGCTTCTTCATGATGTCTGCATATCTTTTGTGTTTGTCAGTACTTTCCGCCCAAAAGCAGGAAGCTTGCTGTGTTTATTCTCTGCGAGACTCCAGTGCCACAATCAGTGCTTGGTGTAAGGTGAGCTCTCAAGTATGTGCTACTAGAATAAGTGGGGGAGGAAACCCAGGACTGGGGCATCTACTCCTGGAGGAATCAGCAGAATAGTGGGACTGTGAGAAATCTTTGATGTTGGCGAGTCTACCATGATGCCCTTGGAACTGAAATTAGTGGGCACCCTGCTAAAGTCTCCCTCTGTCTGTTACAGGTAGACAAGGTCCAGCTCTAATGAGCAGAAAACTGGATCAGAACACCAGTCAGGGTGCCCTGGAGTCTCAACTAATTTGAAAACTTGAGTTACTTTCAAATCCCACAGGCTTGGAAGGGGAGGTGTGAGGTCCACAGGAGGAAGGAGGAAGGAAGGGTCCTGCCTGCATTGATCTTAACTGTCCTCCAAAGGAAGCTGACACTACTTCCAGGTTGTCTCTGCACGAGGAAGGGAACAGGCAGACTTCTGGGGGGTTCCTGAACACTGATCTAAACTGACAGCAACAGTCCACTGGAGCAGTGGCTTACGGAGACCAGTGAACAGGGAGTTTTGACTCTGGTCTGTCTCACAGTGGACACAGTGGACCCCTGGGAGTCCTGTTCCTATAGGAAGGAGGGGACAGGCCCAGGTGAGTTATAAGGTCCCTTCAGAGAAGGTATGACCCTCTTCAGGGCAGGAAGGCAGCAAAGAGCCCAGGAGCCAAAGCCAGTCCTTCCCCCTACCCTCTGGAAAGGGTCTGCCCTGAGACTGTCAGGTGAGTGCACAGAGGGTGTTATAGACAGAGCTGCCTCTGTGAGTGTGTGTGTGTGTGTGTGTGGCTCTATACACACACACACACACACACACACACACACACACACACACGCTGCTCACTCCCAGCCCCTATTCTCTCATTTTTAGTCAACTAATGCATCTTATGTCTTTCCTGATAGGACTGGGGGCTCACCTGGGGACAGGGACACAACAAACTAGAAGATGGGACATAGCTGAGTTCCTTGTGGTCCTTTTCCAAATCCATTTATATTAGCTCAACACTGATATATGCCTGCATCCTTCAGGGTGAGGTGCTCCAAGGTCACTATGAAGGTGAGGTTTGTTGGATGGTCCCTGACGGACACTCAGCCAATCTTTACTTCTTTCTCTTCATCTTTGATCTTTGGTCTTGAGCTCAACCTTCTGTCCCCAGAATGCCACAACCTACCTAGAGCCTCCCATGTTGTCATCAGTGTGCCCCTGGCCCAGTACAACCAAAGAGGATACCTCAGATGCCTGAACACCAGCTGCCATAATGGAACTCAGTCAATGGAAGAATTTGCATGCTCTATTCCAGACCTGAGAGACATGGATGGTTAAGAGAGAAATGCTCAAGGAGAAGTCAGAACTACCTCTACCTGGGACTTGGTGGAGACAGGGCATCACAGGACAGAGCATCTGTGATCCTTGGCTGAGCTAACAGGTAGGTACACAATGCTGACGTTTTGTCATGCTTTGAAGAGTGTGTATTGGTTAGGTTCACTTCAGATGGATAAGAAACATGCATGAGAAGAAAGTTGTAATGACACTTACAAACAGAGTACTCTGGTAGAGGTGTGGAGAGGGGCTTAGGGCTCCTTGGTCAGAAGACCATCCAATCCACCAGAGAGGCCAGGTCAGTGGGCAGGGCCTCGAGGCACGGGCTTTGTTACTGGTTCTCATGTTCATGCTGACTCTCACCAGTACCTCTGAGGCCTGTTCACCCAGAGGACGGCTCTGAGCTTGCTCAGAAGCAGGGGCACCAGGAAGAGCAGGAGCAGGAAGTGGACTCTGCTGAGCAAGGATCTGTGGGGAATACAGTGGAAGACAGTGAATAACCTCCCCAAGGGAAGACCATGGAGCCCTTACCTCCCCTGTCCCTTATGCCTGGTTTCTGTGAACACAGCAATCCATACCTAAAGTGGGACAGGTCAGCCCTGTTCCAATGACCAGTCCTCCTGATTGTCACCCTCAGAACTGACTTTAGGCTGCGGGAATAGGATGGTGAGCACAGGAAGGGCACAGCCTTGAGAAGAATGTGAAGGAGCCCAGGGATCCAGGAGCACTCTCTCTCTCTCTCTCTCTCTCTCTCCTTTTTTTTTTTTTTTTTTTTTTTTTGTAGCCATACTGGGTGCTTGTACTTGCCTGGCAGGTGCTTTACCACTTGAGCCATGCCCTCAGCTCCTTTTATTTTCATTATTTTTGAATAGGGTCTCACTTTTAGCCAGACTAGCCTGGACCACAATTCTATTTACACTTCCCACTGTAGGTGGGATGACAGGCACACATCACTGAGTCCAGCTTTTTATTGGTTGAGATGGGGGTCTCACCAACTTTTTGCTGGGCTGGGCTCCAACCACAATCTCCCAGATCTCTACCTCCAGAGTAGCTAGGATTACAGGTTTGAGTCACTACACCCAGCCAGCAGAGAGATTTCTACTTCATCCTTCTGCATTGGGGGGGTACCCTCTTGGAGGTACAGAACTCCTGATCATGATAATCTCTATGATGCCTATGTCCTAGACACAATACAGCATCTGCTGTGAGAGCAGGAAGCATTTGTCTTTTTTTACTGGTGGCTGGCCAAGTTCTCCAAAACATTGGCTTTAAAATTCATGGCTATTAATGGAATGGATGATGAACTAGGTCAGAGGTCACCTGCCTCAGAGGACTAGGTCTGGCAAAACATGCTAACACTTGTGTTCTGCAGGAAAAAGTGTCAGAGTCCCTCTGCTTCCTGCCCAGCCTGGCCATTCTTCATGACTCCTACACAGGACACTTGCACTCGATCCTCCCTCTGCCTGGACCACTCTGTCCAGATCCATGGTGGTGTGGTTCCCCCAACCCTGTAGGCCGCCGCTCTAACCAGCCAGGCCTACACTAATCGTCATGTAGAAAACAGCACGTCCACCACCCTCCATCCCACACTGTCTCCAAGCTCTGTAATGGTCATATCCCCCACAGCCATAGAGTTTCCCATATTTAATGACTTCTGCACTAACCTGTTCCCTGTGTGAGCCCACCCAGTAGAACACACATTCCATTGGAGCAGGACTGTGTCTGCGTGGTCACTGCTGTGTCCTAGTCCCAAGAAGAGCACCTTGCACTCAGTTAACTGTGGACAAATGCAGGGGGCGTCCAGAGGAGTGTGACCCAAGTGGTTCTACCTTCCCACCTCCAACACAACCCACCACCCAGAGGCACAGTCCCAAAAACAGGCACATACTGGGGCTATGGGCTTGGATCTGGGATATCCTCTTTGGTTTGTACTGGGCCAGGGGCACACTGATGACAACAAGGGAGGCTCCAGGTAGGTTGTGGCATTCTGGGGATAGGAGAAGCTCAAGATTGAGAGATAATGCCCTGGGGGGTCCTGTTCCTATAAGAAGGAGGGGGACAGGCCCAAGTGAGATATGAGGTCCCTGCAGAGAGGATATGATCCTTATCAGGACAGGAAGGCAGCAAAGAGCCCAGGAGTCAAGGCTAGTCCTTTCCTCCACCCTCTGGAAAGGTTTTGCCCTGAGACTGTCAGGTGGGCACCCAGAGGGTCTTATAGACAGAGCTGCCTCTGTGAGTGTGTGCATATGGCCACACACACACACACACACACACACACACACACACACACACACACGCTGCTCATTCCCAGCCCCTATTCTCTCATTCTTAGTCACCTAATGCATCTCATGTCTTTCCTGGTCACTGATAGGACTGGGGGGCTCACCTGGGGATAGGGACACAACAAACTAGAAGATGGGACATCTTCTAGTGGTTCTTTTCCAAATCCATTTATATTAGCTCAACACTGATATATGCCTGCATCCTTCAGGGTGAGGTGCTCCAAGGTCACTATGAGGGTGAGGTTTGTTGGATGGTCCCTGATGGACACTCAGCAAATCTTCACTTCTTTCTCTTCATTTTTGATCTTGTTAATCTTCCAGGGTGACAAACATGGGTCTTTGCAGCAGTATTTGT